GCCGCGCGCCGCGTGGATGCCGATCTCCGAGCAGCAGGAGCGGATGCAACTCGGCCGGCCGCGAGTCCAAGGTGCCCTTGTCAGCCTTTGCACGCGCGCGGACTCTTGTTCCATCGCCCGCATTTTGCAGCTTGACACACCTCGACAGGAACGCTTGCACGGCTATAGCCGCTTGACAGATCACACACCCCAATCGTGACACTTGCACCGATGTTGTGCCCGGCGCATCAGGTCGGCGTTACCCTGGCCGAGTGCGGGAGTTGCGCGGAGGGCGCTGAGCAGCGCTGATGACGGATGCCCAAAGTTGATCCGCAGAGCACGTCACCCTCGCATCTTTGCGATTTGCACGGCTTCGATGAGCATGCAGAAGGCCAGGCTGCCCACCTCAACGCCTGCAGGATATTGATGATCGACCGCATCGCATGGACGGCTTGCTCAGCCCCGAACCACGAATCACGAATGGGTATGGCGTGCATACATGCTGTATATTATATATGAAGCTGCGGCGCGGCGCGGCGCGGTCGGGCATCCGCAGCGTTAATTGGAGTTCATCACCGAAAAGTCACGGCCGGGCAACGCCGCGGCTGCTGCTGCATGTGCTGCGCCCCCGCCCCAGCAGGAGCAGCAATTAACAGAGGCACATCGCATATTCGGGCTTGCGCGCGTGTGATGGGCGTCCGCTCGCTCCCGATGCAACAATACTTGCTCACAACCACCACCCCGCATGCTGATGTGCGAGACTGGATGGAACTCTGCTGCGAGTGCATCAGCGGCTACTTCAGGCAGCCCATGCTTGGATGCATCCACGTGGTGCATACGTCCGTATACGTCCTTCAAGAACCGAGCAACCGTATGTGAATATGGAACATCGACTACTCACAACTCGCACGGTCTGTCTTTGGTGCCCCACGTTGCGATCAAGCGTCTCCAAATCAATACCGGCAACGCAAGGCATCCGTGAACGGAGCTCGGCGGTGACTGCTGCCGATGGTTCACGAGTGCCCACCGAGAATGTAGCAAGCCCGTACGTCGTCCTTATCGCCGAACGATCACGCACGCACGATCCAAGGTGAGCCTTTGCCAATCGCTAATGGGACATCATCGTCGGAGCAACGTCCCAAGATGCGCCTCGACACAAAGAGACCCGCAAGCTGCATACCGCTCCATCACCAGCCTGCGCTCTGCATCCTCGTCTTGCCATTCTTGGCATCGCCTTCTTTTCCATCGCGCTAGACTATTTGGCAGGGCCGCGCTATCCCGCATCGCTGCTCGAAAGCCTTGCGAACACCACTCCCACACGACTCTCGACTTGGCGTTCCAGCTGACTTTAATAAAATTGAAAAAAGACTCGGCCCGACCGGCGTTGCCAGCCAAGCCTGTGCCAGACAGCAAAGAAGATGTTCCGATTTTAGCTGATCGGTGAGCTTTTTTCGCCGTGCGCGGAGGGTCACAAGATCCGAGCAACCTGGTCCCACGCTACCTCCGCGCGGCACGCTCAATCGATCGATCGACGTCGGGTTTGCGTAGTAGCGACATGCTGCGATGGCGTCCTGCTTGAGATGCCCTATAAGAAAGCTCGAATCGCGTCCTCACTTTCTTCAACGACTCACGGTACAAACAGCTTCGAACTTCAAAGTACGCCTGCTACAGCACTCACTCACGTATCAGCATGCCTGGCATCACTAGACCAGCCCTTTCCGTCGCCGCCTCCAAGGCCCCATCGCAGCCAGCAAAGACCCTCTCCGCAAACGAGAATCTCGACTGGCATCCAACTTCCTGGCGCTCCAAGCAGCTTGACCAGGACATTGTCTACCCAGATGAAGGCAAGCTGTACCAGGCTCTCAGCAAGATCAACCGCCTTCCTGGGCTCGTGACTCCTGCCGAGATTGAGCGCGCTCGCGAGGACTATGCCCGTGGTGCTCGGGGCGAAGCCTTCTTCATTCACGGTGGTGACTGCGCCGAAGGTGAGTAGGCGTTTGCGTGTGGCAGCATCGACATCGCGATGCTCATACGTGTCTCGTCCCTCAGCTTTCGACGAGTGCAATGAAGAACACATCTCTGCCCAACTTCGCGTGCTTCTTCAAATGAGTCTGGTCATCTTTTTGGGCGCCAAGATTCCCATCGTCCGCGTTGGACGTATCGCTGGCCAGTACGCCAAGCCCAGAAGCAAGCTAACGGAAGTAGTCGATGGAAGAGAGTACCCTTCGTTCCGCGGAGATTCAGTCAACGGCGTTGCACTGCACGATAGGCAGCCCAATCCTGAGCGCTTGCTTGCTGCACACTTTCACAGCTCCCTGACTCTCAATTACTTGCGCAGTCTGAACTGCGAGCAGCGAATCTTCCATGCTGCCATCGGAGAGCTCGACTTTCATGCAGAGTCCATCGTCGACGACGTGCTTCGACTCAACGCCTACAAGTTTCATGCTCGCATCGAGGATGTCATGCTGGCGTCAGCGCGCCAGGGAGACGCGTCGGCCGTCAAGTCGCTTGAACGCCTGCAGGAAGCAGTCGGAAGCGAGATGCTCTGGACCTCTCATGAAGCGCTCAACATTCCCGTCGAAGAAGCCAGCATCCGCACAGTCTTGCACGCTTCCACTGGCGACTTGCGTCACTACAACACCTCGGCTCACATGCTTTGGATAGGTGAGCGCACTCGCCAGCTCGAAGGCGCCCACGTGGAATTCATGCGCGGTATTCGCAATCCCATCGGCTGCAAGGTCGGACCGAGCATGCAGCCTGCCGAGCTGGTGGAGCTCCTCGACAAGCTCGATCCTCACTTTGAAGATGGTCGCGTTACGCTCATCACCCGTCTTGGTGTCGACAACGTCGAGCGCTTCTTGCCCGCTCTCATCAACGCTGTCCAAAAGTCCGGACATTGCCCTCTTTGGCTCTGCGATCCTTGCCACGGAAACGGCAAGACGACGTCGACTGGAGTCAAGACTCGCGATTTTGCCGACATGTTTGGAGAGATTGAAAAGTGCATCTCTGTGCACGGTGCGCTCGGAAATCCTCTTGGAGGCCTGCACCTCGAGCTCACTGGTGATAAAGTGACGGAATGCACGGGCGGATGCATCCCTCTGGCTGAAGATGGTCTGGGGGCGGCTTACAAGACTTTGTGCGATCCCAGACTCAACGCTGAACAGAGCTTGCATCTGGCGTTGCTCGTCAGCCGCAGGCTCGAGGGCGACAATTTGCACTCTCATCTCGTTTCTACTGCCAATCCGGCGGCCAAATTTGTGCCGAGCACTCCTGCCGCCTAGGCTCTGGCAAGCTCCCCCACGCTTGCTAGTCATATGATTCAAGAAGAGTACGCCACCGTGCTTCTCGGCTAAGAACTCGCTTCATGACTCCGACGACTGCTCGCTCCCCAGATCAAGCAAGCCGAGGAGGTCCTCCCTTGCTCGCCTTGTCCACCTTTGCAAGCTCCATTTTCCCCGTGTAGAAGACTTGAACGCTGCAATACGATTCACATGGACATTTTTTGGTGCGAGAGATCAATTCGCCAACCGTGGGCGCATTTCGCCAACCGTGGGCGCATGCAACAATCTCTGTCCTGTGTGTGCTCATGCGCAAACTTGATCGTCCCGAATAGCGCCACTCCGTCTCTAGCGGGTCGGTGGCGAGAAGCGAGCCGAGACACTTGAATACGGCCGGTGCGGACTCGGATGAATCGCTTGATGCCCCTTTTCCAAGGGTAGCGCGGCTGCCTGAACTCGATCAGTTCGACGAGCAGACGTGGGCGCAGCCCGGCGTCATGGCTTTCCCGAAGCATGCTAGTGGTGATGCCAGTACCGTAGCGATGCAAAAGTGGTCAACAGTCTGAGTCCACGGTGGGCGTCTTGCACACATAAGAAAGGGAGCAAGGGGGGATTCGAGTCTTCCCGCCAAGGACGTGCTTTCCAAATAGGCACACGCTTAGTTGGCTCGCTCGTCTGCCCGCCATGTCACTCCGTCAAACCTGCCCGGGCCGTGCTGGTAGCTCCGCGATGAGGGCGTTGCTGGTCGTGCTGATATGCACCAGCTTGCTTCTTGGGGTATCTTGCACCAGCACTTTTGCTGCAAGACGGCTTGACAGACGCAGCTCTTCCTCGACAGACATGTCCGGCATCTCGACGGATCACAGCAGCGGCGAGAATTCGCAAGGTCGACGAGTACGGGCGCGATGGCGAGGACATTACTCGTCCGGCAGTGAGACGGGAAGCGACGGTGAGGGCGCCAGCAGCAGTCGCTCAGATCTTTCAACAGAGCCAGACCTTTCCGTCTCGAGTGGCAGTGACCATGGTAGAGCCGTGTCGCCAAGCGATTATTTACCACCACAAGATTTGCGCCTGCTACCGCCTCCTCTGGAGCACGTTCCGAGCGGTCTCTCATCCACGCTGATCTCGGGAGCAAGAATCCACGGCGTGGGATCGCCGCCCTCTTTGCATTCTGCAAGTTCCAACGCATAGGCTACGCCTCTCGAAGTGGGAGGTCCACACACGCCCGATTTTCTACCTGGCTATTCCACCTCCTCGACGCAGGCTTCTACATCCTCCACCCTGCCTAGCCGCACCTCCAGCAGTCCAGCAAGATTATCGTCGCCCGAACGTGCAAGACTTCTTCGATCTTCCTCTTCGCCATCCCCGTCGACGCATCGACGTGGCGTAGCCAAGCATCTCGTCCAGACCAATCCTCGATGGGTTCTCTCCAATGGCAGCAACGCGCACCTCCCAGTGCATCAGCTGGTCAACCGACCGGCTTTCACGAGACATACCCGAGGGGCGTA